AGGCAGGCTGTGCTGTCATCTTGCCCACCATCAACAGTATCCTCTTGGCTCAAATGAGCAAAACTTTCTTTGTTCCTTAAACTTCAGAAGTTCAGCATGTTTTACATCGAGACTTATTCACCTCACCAACATTAAGGTGTCCTAGTTGTCCTGCAGCTAGAGATTCCAATATGGATTCAAGAGGGTTCCTTTTTTAAGATGCCACACATTACTGTGAGCCTGGACCTCCTCTAGGGATTCCTTCAGTCTGGGAATATGAAACCAATTTATCCCTCATGCTACTTCCTTCTCCCAATCTGAATTAGGATGATATAGATACATTAAATTTACCTGGAGGTCATCTAAATGGAGGTGAGAAAAACTGACAGTGGTACTCCTGCTGCACCTTTTTCAAAATCATTTAAGAAAATCTTCTCTTCACCACTAGACTCTCAACCTTTGTCTCCACAGGAGTGAGGGGGGGTTGTTTCCTCAGTTTCATCTACACATGCCTCATTATGACTTTGTTTGGGGGCTGTTTTTTATTTCTTTTAACCAGTTTCATACAGCATGTATGCTACCTATCTAAAATATTGAATCATTAACACCCATAGCTTAAGTTCTGGTGCTCTAGATGAGATTAAGAAACAGCCAGAGTCTCACACTTGATATCATTGTGGTGGTTTTTCTTTGCTAGATTCAAAGTTACAAAGTAACAATTTAACCAAATTTAAATTCCAGTTATACAGCCCATAAACAGATCATTTTAAAGCCCTCTGTACAGTTTCAATTTCATTCTAGTTGAATCTACTAAATGCATTTAGATAACTCGTTGCTTAATTCTTTCACCAAGAATGTATTTATGCATTGTTTATGCTATGAATTCTTCCCCTTTTTATTCTACCTACTGTGTAACCAGCGTTTGTTTCCTTCCTCCCTTCCTTCCTTCCTTCTTCCCATCCTCCCTCTCTAACTTCCTTCCTCCTTTCCTTCTTTCCTCCCTCCCTTCCTTCCTTCCTTCTTTCCTTACTTCCTTTTTTCTTCATTCCTTTATTTTTAAATTGGGTATGGAATTTTCTTTCTCTTTTATTTTTTCTCTCTTTAAATTTAAAAATAGCTTCTTCTTTCATACAATACATCATGACTACAGTTTCCTCTCCCTCCACTCCTTCCATCTCCCCCCAACTACCCTGTACCCCAGGCCTATACCCCCTTCCTTTTCTCTTTAGAAAAGAGCAAGTCTCCAGGAGACAGACAAACAGGGCAATAAGACAAGGCCAATGCACTCATGTTGATGCTGAAGAAAGCAACCCAACAGGAGGAAAAGAGTCCCAAGAGCAGGCAAAAGAGTCAGAGACACACCTGCTTCCACTATTAGGAGTTCCACAAAAACACCAAGCAAATATCCCCATAACATACACACAAAGAGCCTGCTGCAGACCCACGCAGGTCTCATGCTTGCTCTTTTACTCTCTGTGAATCCTGCTTGGTTAATTTAGTGGGCCATGTTCTCCTGTTGTCCTTCATCCTCTCAGACTCCTACTATATTTCCTCTGCCTCTTCTATAGGTTTCCCCTCATCTTCTTGGGGAAGGATCTGGTAGAGACCTCCAATTTAGACTCTCTTCACATAACTTCTGTCTGTGGGTCTCTGTACCATCTCCCATATGATGCTGGATGAAGCCTCTCAGATGATGACTGGACAAAGCACCAATCTATGAGTATAACATTATATCATTAGGATTGATTTCGTGTTCTTTCTTGCTTTCCAAAAAAACAAAAAAAAAAAATAAAACCAAACCAAACAAGAAAAATGCACAGTAAGACAGATGTACCAAATCAAGAACTTCCTACAACAGCAAAACAAAACAAAACAAAAAAAAACACTGGAGTCTATTTTGCATTGGCTAACTTCTCCTGGGCCTGGATTCTGCTCTGGGGTATGGTTGATATGCCCAATGACACTTATTGGGGAAAAATGATTTTTCCCAGAAGGTATCAATTGCAATAAAAATTCATGGTATAAAAAATATATTGTGTAGTTGGCTACCTTCACTACTTTGGTGGATGTGTGGAGTTTGACAAAAGAAGGCTGGGAGAAGAAACCGTAGATTGACAGCACATCAGAGATATTTTGAATACCAAAGAGGCACTTGTAGGTTATATGGAGATTTCAGTTTATTTTCAGGAGGACATTGAGATGGCCAGATCTATTAAGGAGAGAATGGAAGAGATCACTAGATTACTAAAATAGTTCAGGAAGACCAAGAGGGCACAGCGGACAGTGCTGAGACAGAATAGAATGAAGAGTGAATTGCAATGGCAGTGAAAGGCAGAGTGGAAAGAAAGAGGGGACCTGCTTTAATGTGCAAACAAGCATTCCATTCTTTGACTACACAGATAGTACCTCTCTATTTCTCACTAAGGATGAAGATTTAGTGGAACAGTATGTCTCAGACCTTATGTCTTCTGGTTATGGAAGTAAGGAAACATACATAGGTGCAGGAAATTTCATGGTGTGATACTGAGAATTCCTGCAGAATGCGAATTTCCCCCTTGTTTAAAATAACCCTGTCCTGTCAGAGGCCTAAAAATCAGCCTAACATGTACCGCCACTGCCTATGACATCCAGATGCAAACAATGGTGCATCATGTACAGAAAGCCAGCCATACTGCCACCTTAGAATTCAACTGGGAAATGGTAATGAAAACTCATTGTTAGCATGGGACCACACACTTGCAAGAGTATGAGTAAGTCCTTCAGAGAAAATAAATGGTCTCTCAAACTAGAGCAGGAGGGAGGCCTGAGAGGGGAAATCTAAACAGCCAATAAGCAAATAAACAAAGGTGATCGAAACATGCTGAGAATACGCCAGCAGCAAACAAAGAGAAAGGGTTATGTTGAGGACACAGCAGCATAATTGGATTCCTCTGCCAACCCTGGTAATTAAAATGGAGACACTCAGTACCTTAGTTGCTCTGCAATCCCATAATATGTTTGAGATTAACAACCCTTGAATCTTGCTTTCACTGTTATATTATTTGAATATACAATGCATATCTCTTGCCATTTTCAGAGCACACACAGAAGCCTCTGCAGGGCCATGACGATGCACAAACAGCTGACAAGAGCCTGGCCTATTTCTCCAATCACACTTCCCTTGTTGCTGTTGATATTTTGACCAAAACTAAACAGTATACAAACAAAAATGGGAAATGACAAGCTCTCCAATATTTAAAGCTCTGAATGCCTATTTGAGAGAAAAACAAGCAGTTGTTTCATAGCTCCACACAGTGACTTTTTTGTTTTGCCAGCATTTTTATTCTTAAATCTCACCAGTACCTTGTATAAATTACAAAAATAAAAAAAATTAGAAACATTAGTTGCGCTGTGGATTTGAGCAACATCGAGAGGGCTGCAAGAGACTCTTGTGTCCAATGATACATATTTTAAAGCCTCTGTGTCTCAGATCTGTAACTACATTCATCCATAGAAGGGCATGGGGACTTGAGTTGCCTCATGTGTATATGATTATCTGGCTGACGCCCCTAGCCTGTGTACAGAAGACTGAACACAGCCCCTCTGCTGCTCAAAGGCATTCCTAACTCTGGAGATGGTAGCCTGAGCTGAATTTCTAGTTATAGACTGACAAGGGCTCCTCCAGGACCCTTGTAGAGGTGTTTATCAAGTGTGAGATATCGATAATCGACAGGCAACAGGAAGCACACGTTGGCAATTAATGTTATACTTTGTTCCCAAAGATGTTCTTGGTCCCTTTATATGTCTGTTGACTGCTCTACCAATTCCTCTGTGAGGTAATATGAAGTTGATATAAATAGCGAGTGGTTTACCTAATTTCAGCTATTAAAATGAAGGGGATAGGGTAACAGGAACACACAAAACAGATTGTTAATGTCTAAGAAAAATATCTGGGACACCCAATAGGCTGTGGTGGAGAGGGAATCCGGTGCAAGCTTTCCTGACTGAGATGGGTTGTTCCTGGCAGATCTACACATGGTGTTGGATGTTGCAAATAGCCTAGAGAAAAGGGAAATTAAAAAGTACAGAAAAGAATAACACAGTCCACAGCATTTGATTTTTGTGTTCATTACTAGACTGATTTCTTTTTCCAGTACGAAACCAACCAAACATAAAGAACTCATTCTAACAAAATTCGGCCTTGCTTCAGTCCAGCACAGTAGGAAATAGACAAGCTGGAGCTTCCTGCTCTGCCTGGTGGGTGACAACACATGTGGAAGTATAGAGACAACACCTGAGTTACTTCACCCCAGTGCAGAATTGCTCTGTCTTTTTAGGGTCCCTTGTTGCTGCAAGGTGACAATGGAAAAATCTGCATTTAAGAAAATGACTTATAGATCAGGCAAGATGGCTCAGTGGTACAGGTGCTTCCTGCCAAGGCTGAGGACAGAAGTTCATGCCTGGGACTCACATTCCAGAAAGAGAGAACCAACTCTAAAATATTTACGTTGACCTCCACAAGTGCTCTTTATCATGTGAGACTCCCCACTCACCGAACAAAAATTTTTAAATGAAACAAAAATACTATAAATTATTTATATAATACTTCCAAAACGGGTTGGCATGTAAATAGTGGACATATACAATGTAAATGTCTCATGTAAGGATGTGAGATTCCTATAATTAAGACTCTTGCCGGGCAGTGGTGGCGCACGCCTTTAATCCCAGCACTCAGAAGGCAGAGGCAGGCGGATCTCTGTGAGTTCGAGACCAGGCTGAACCGACAGCTTCCAAAACAATACAGAGAAACCTCGTCTCGTAAAAACCAAAAAAAAAAAAAAAAGACTCTTGCCGGTTCACCGAGGCACTTACTTCTCTGTGGCTGTGTGGGTCACTGCGTTGCTTGCTGGATGAGAGTCCCTCGCTCTTCTCAACAGGTTTACATTCTGGATGATCAAGCTCCTTCAGTGACACTGAGACAAATGGGAGGCTATGAACTGATGTGGAGAGGTGAGCAAAAGTGAAACACTAGCTCGCTTGAATAGAGTAACCAAGATGTAATGTTTTAAAGACATTTTTCTTAGATTATAATACAGTTACATCTTTTCTCCCTTCCTTTCATCCCTCCAAATCCTCCAATGTACCCACCCTTTTGAAACTTACAGCCTCTCTCTCTCTCTCTTTCTCTCTCTCTCTCTATATATATTCATATATTTACAGAGGTATTATTTCATATTCATATATATATAATATTTTATGTAAATGCCTAAATGCAATATATGTTTTAAAGATGCAAGCAGAGATATGATTTTCCCTCAATGTAACACTGTTGCAATTATGAAAGGACATAGTAAAATTCCATGACAGGAAGTCAGACATAAGGAAGATTCACAGTGTTGATTTTGGGAACATGATCTTCCCAGATGAATCAAAACAACAGAATCTGATAGCACCATCTTTCTGGTGTCTGAAAAAAAAGAATTACACCATATTTTCATGATTTAACTTGGATAATCCATGACTTATTGGATTATGTCAAAATATTTCTCTGATTATCATATTTTTGAGATAAAATATTTTAATTTATATGCGAGGAATAAAATAAGCCACGTTTGGCCAAAAAGACAAAGAGAAGAAATGGAAAAATGAAACAGCTTCCTTAAAGTAAAAAAAAAAAAAAAAGATCAGTGTTTCTGACTACTTTGGCTTACAAAGAAAAAGATACAATTCCATCACTACATTTCATAAAATACAACATTTTGTTGCTGTTGTTCAGAAAAGACACATTAACTTTTTAAAACTATTTTAATCTGAAGGAAAATACGCTCAAGGAGAAACCCTGTTCTTAGCTTCAGTATTGTTCCATACACTGTTAGCGTCTGAGAGGTCAGATTTCAGGGGACCAGGGCCTTGCTTGGATTTGCTTGTGCACTGCAGAGACTGAGCTTCACAGCACATGTTCCGAGAGGACAGCACAGCAGAGGTAGCTGTAGAGAGAAGCCAGCTTCTACCCAGACACACCTTTCCACATTGCTCAGGCCAGGGGTGGGAAACTGGAGCCACGCAGTTCTGTGACTTTTATTAGTGAGTGCCATTTGCTGTGACTCCAAGCACTCAAGTGTTCCAAAGAGAAATCACACAAAACAAAGTCGGTATACAGGAGCCTAATATTCTTTAAGTGGGTAGACAGTAAATTATCCTTTCTTGAGGAAAGAAAAAATGTTAATGACTAGGTCTGTAAAGACATTTTATAATGGAGGAAGTGGCCTCCTGTACCAATTAGTTCAAGGGTACTTCTCACTTTCTCCTCTAAGAGGTGCAGTGTGGCTGGATTGATGTTGAGGTCTTTGATCCATTTGGACTTAAGTTTGTGCATGGTGTTTTTTACATGTCATCATCCAGTTATGCCAGCACCATTTGTTGAAGATGCTTTCTTTTTTCCATTGTATAATTAGCTTCTTTGTCAAAGACCAAGTGTTCAAAGTCGTGTAGGTTGATATCAGGTTCTTCAGTTCAATTCCATTGGTCTACCAGTCTGTTTTTGTGCCAATACCAAGTTATTTTCAGGACTATATCTCTATAATAGAGCTTGAAGTCTGAAATAGAAGCAGCCATAAAAAGTCTTACAACCAAAAAAAAGTCCAGGCATAATCAATTTCATATTCAAATATTTCACAGATTTCCACTTGTATGGATCAAAAAAGAAAGCTAATCAGTTGTAAAGATAAAAAATGGAACTCCTGGGGGATGGTGACTGGGGATTCTAAGGTGTTGTCTGTGTTAGGTATGGGATAATGTCTGTTATCTTTGTGAAAATTCATGGAAACTCATAATGCACTTTATAGAACCCATGTTATATAATATTTTAATAAAAAGACAGTAAAATCTGGATTTGATGAAATGTGTCTTTTATTTTTCCAAATTTCCTGCATGCATGATGATTCCCACAGGAAATACTTTGAATCCCTGAGTTAAACTGTTTGTTAGTAGTGGAATTAGAAATAGTATTATTTAGTGCAGTGGTTCTCAACCTTCTCAGACTTTGGCCATTTAATTCAGTTCCTCATATTGTAGTGACCCCCAATCATAAAATTATTATCCTTGCTACTTCATAATTGCATTTTCATTATTGTTATGAATCATAATGTAAATCTCTGTGTTTTCTGATGGTCTTAGGTAACCCCTGTGAAAAGGTCATTGAACCCCAAATAGTTGGAAACCACTGAATTAGTGTATGATGATTAATATATTTTAAAGAACCCCCAACATAAAGAGAAATAAAAACAGACATATTTGAGTCAATAACATTAGGCTTTCATTATTCATTAAGACTACAACAAGGTAAAAACTCTTGGCTTTTTATACTGTACATGAGAATGCTCACTTCCTTATATATGAGGCTCAAAATATGTTTAGTATTCTGTAATACATCTATATTTCATAGTGTGATTTTCAGGGTGTGAGGTGATTCCTATAGCATTGTGTCACACATTCATTATCATGATAGCCATCATCTTTTGCACATGGTTAGAGTATATTTAAAGAAGAAATTATGAAAATCATAGTTATATCAAAATAGTTTTATTTAATTCTTTCTAGTATGATCAGTAAATTACTCATGCTGTCCTTTAAGCAAATCAGGAAGTGGAAGGCAAATCTCCAAAGGTACCTTAGTGCCTGAGACAGACTTAAGAAGCACTGTTTTACATACCTCTATTAGTGTAAATAACTTAGAAAAATTGGATTCCATGTAACTAAGTTTAAGAGTATCTTTTATTTTGAATTTTCTGGTTATATGATCAAAAGAAGACTATCTTGTACAATTTATTTTTAAATGTCTCTGTATGAAGTAGACCATGAGAGTAAAATAAAAAGGAGTAAGTACTCCTAACTGCCTCAAGAACTACTTTAATGTGATCCACTGTGCTATGGAAGATGCTAGTGCTATTTTTTTAATTCTCAGATTTTAGAGTCATTGAGCTTTACCACAATTTCCATCTTACATTTTCCCTTTTGTTTTCTTTTTGTTTTCTGGTGATTTAAAAGTATTCTAGACTTTTTGTAGTTAAAAACCTCATTCTCCATTTCCTCCCTCTGTAAGATGGGGAAAATACTTTTTAAATTTTGGTTCATGATAGCTGGCATTTTATCCCAGTTTATTTTTCCCATTAACAAATATTTTCCAAAGGCACTATACTGTGGTATTCCATGATCATTCCCAAACTACCTGTGTCAGCATTATAGCTTCAATAATAGATAGTAGATAATCAATAGATTGGCAAATATTTCCCAGAATCCCTTTCTCATTAGTTTAGAATAGTTTGTGATGGGGTATTTCTTCTGTGTATATGTTTGTCTTATTGATTGATGAATAAAATACTGATTGGTCAGGCAGGATGATAGGTAGGTCAAGGAGACAAGGAAGATTCTGGGAAGTATAGACAGAGAGGAGTTGTCATGTGATCCCAGGAAGTGACATAGTTGAGTAGAAACTGAGAGGTATGGAGGTCGGTACAGACAGGCAGGAAGTGACATAGCTGGTTAGAATCAGAATATAAGCAGGGACAAACAGGAAATTGCTCTCTTCTCTGCTGAGACGCTGAGTCTTTATCATGTACCATGCAAAGGAGTTGCAGGTCGAATTAACCAACGCCACATGGAAATAAGTGGATTAGTAGTTATAGGCTAATAATTAAGGTAGAGCTTACCTGTAAGAAACCACAGCCTACATGGCCAAGAGTTCCATAATTACTATAGCATCCATGTGCTTCTTTGGGGCAGAGAAGGATGGCAGAAACTCCTGGGCCAGAAATAGTAACATTACAAGTTTGTGTCTTCAATAGAACGTTTTTTCAGTTATATGGAAAAATGAAATAAAATTATAGAACTAAAATATATTATACTGAGTGAGGTAACCCAAACTCCAAAAGATAAACATCACCCTATTTCTCATATTTGTGAATCTGAGTTCCAGATATTTAGATGTGAGTTTGTGACATGGAGGAGTCATAGAAACCAAGAAAGTTAAAAGGAATCTCGGGCAGGAGTTCGGGGAGAAAGAGGTCTAGAAATGAACATAGCAGAACACAGTTCCTACTACAGGGGAAATGGGAAAATTAGGGGTGGGCTTTAACTGGAGAAGGAAAAGATAGGTAAAACACAGGCAGATAGAAGGCAGAGGGATAAATGATAGGTAAAACACAGGCAGATAGAAGGCAGAGGGATAAATGATAGGTAAAACACAGGCAGATAGAAGGCAGAGGGATAAATGATAGGTAAAACACAGGCAGATAGAAGGCAGAGGGATAAATAGCATTAAAAATTTGAAAAGACCATAAGGAAACATCATGCTTAACTAAAATTATGTATAATATATAATAGCCATGACTGTTAATAAGTTCATTCTTCTCTATTAACTGGATTCTAGGTGTCTTTCCATTTCCATCTCCCTCTCAGGTGTCATTTCTCAGATATAAATTTTACACATGTAAAACCCTGTAATATTCACTATACATATGTTATGAAAGGACTAAGAGTATCAGAAGAACATAGAGAATACCCAAGGAAAAAAGCCTATGGCTTGTAAAAACTGCCTGGAGGCCCTTTATGAGAATTAGGGAATTTTATTTTCACTTCCGTTCACTGTGTTTTTAAATGATATGTGTGCCAGTGTGAAGGTTTGCATATGTGAGTGCACATCCAAGAAGGCCAGTTACAGGCAGTTGTGACCTTTCTGAGTTAGGTGCTGGGAACTCATTGTTGGTCCTCTTAAACAGCAGTACTGGCTCAAAACCCCTGAGCTATGATTTCAGCACCCAGAGAAATATTTTAATGTCATCACTATGACAATAAAACTCCAGTTTTCACCTACCACGTTCCCGCACCTCTTCTTTAAACATAAACCATAAAAATTCTATCAAAGAAAAGGAAGATGCAACTGGAAATAAATAAGGAAAATAGCATGCTACACAAGTTTCTAGTGGCAAATTCCTCTCAATGACACTACCAGCTTGACAAATTTGGCTCATAGTGCAGATGAATTTTTTTGGCAATAATTGCAGTTTTCTCTGAAACAGAAATGATGTGTTCACCGCTCTCCAGATGTACAACTCCCTCTGGTTAATTCCTACAAAAATGGCTTTCATTGTTCAAAAGCAAAACAATTGGAACAAGTTTTTGTGCCTTTGTGTTTATTGTTTCCCTTGATGAGAGGCAGTTTATCTCTCCAGCACACACCGCACTCTCAGAGCACCTTGTGGCAACACAGCTTTTATTATTATTTTTTTTACTTGTAAAATTGCATTTGCTAAATTTAGTATGAATGGCAGGATAAGCCTCACTAGGAAAGTGGATTATAAAGATAAAAGAAAGAAACATTAAGTTCTTTCCCCAACCAGTTCCAAATGTGCCTTTACGCCTGTAATATCCCATAAATGCCAGGGCAACAGCACCAGCTGCTCTTGGCTCTCACAGGGCATGACGTTTCCTCTCATTCTGGCACCAGCCTTCACCCCAAAGGATAGAAACTATTAGAAACCAGAAGTAGAAGGCATAGCTTTCACTTGTTCTGAGGACAAAACACTGGGACCTGATAGCTGTCTGTGGCACTGAGTTCTCATGAAACTGAAAGATAGATGTAAGCTTATGCCAAATCCAGGCATTAAGATGGGCTTTGGCTATTTGTTGCTGCTACACTCTTCTGATATATATTATGTGCATGATGTCTATGACTCTTGGCAGAAGGGCACTAAGTGGACTGAGAAATCTCAGAGATTTAATTTCAAGACTGGTGTGGCTCATATTATCTCATTGTTATAAACATATTCTTTCTTCTTATTACATCTTTGTACAGATAAAAATTCTGCTATTGTGTCTGAATATATTTTTAAAAATACAATTCAAGGAACATAAAAATAGGAGTGTGTCTTATTTTATTTTATGGTCCTATTTTATGTTACCAAATGCTAAAATTCAACATTTTCTAAGTCTTAACAGAAAAACAAATCTATCATCCCAGGAAGGGCTGGCAAGTTCTGCCTTGAACAGCATCCCACACAGAACTGTATTAATCTCTGATACTCAATCAAAAGCCACAGACCTCGAGAAGCACAAGCTGATGGCCAATTGTATGATGGCTAGGCTAAGAGCTTACACTTCACTGGCAGTTCCTTCTCCCTTCTTCATACTTAGTTGAGTGCTCTGAAACTGCCATTCCTTTCCAACTTCCTCCCCTTCTCTGCTGCCTCCCTGTTCCTGCCCCACAACCTCACCTTGTTCTGTGGTGAAAACAGAACCACTGTGTGTTGATGGAGATATTTCAGGAAATTTTTAGAAAAATATTTGTATCATACTCTCACATTTAGAACAGTTGGTGCCAGCTATTTGTAAATATTAAACTTTTTTCTTCATTTATAAAATATGTACAGCCCTGTTGCCATTATATTTCCTCATTTTCCCCTTTTACCACAGTTTGGTAGACTTCTGTATATGGAATTATGGAAATAATACCACTCCAGATGTAAGATTTTCCTATTTTGGGGAAGTTTACATTTAGTATAGAATGTTACACAACCTCCTACATATCAGACATGGTTAGAAGATAGTTAAGTACTTGAGTCATTCAATCCATCCCAACCACATAATGACATGGATGAAATTATCTTCTGTACTTAGTGACTGAGACAAATGACATATTCACATTCCTGAAAGCCTGCCTGTGCTGTTGGTTCCCACACCATGCCCTAATTATTGCAGCCATTTTTCCATTTTTGCTAAAAGATAAATCAACTGGTATCTATTTTTAGTTATAAAATCATGAAGAAATATAACTCTTCAAGATATATTTCAAGCCAATACTACAAGAATGTTAAAACATAGGAAACATAATGTCTGCTTTGTGTTAATAATAATAGCTGATTTATGCTATGCAGTGACAGGTTACACTAGGGGTCCTAACTCTGCAGAGATCCTGCTACAAAAGGATGGGCTCTGTAGGCATCTTTTGTTAATATTCTCATCATAGTCCACGTCAGGAAGACTGGAAAGGAAAGGTGGCACAGAAGAATTTAAGATCCATGCTTCCTGGTGGTAAAATTAGGAGATGAAGACTGAGTTAAGTAGAGCAAGAAAAGGGAATGGGCATGGAAAAGGGTGCTGGTTAATTGTTCACACAACCCAGAGGGATGAGTAGATGCACTCTATCATTCTACTCATGAGGTAGTTGGTTAGGACACCAAGTCCCCAAAAGTTGGCCTAAGAAAGCAACAAAAGGGAGTCATGGAGCACACACTAATACAACCTTACCTTGTTCTGCAGTGAAAAAAAATCCACTCTGTGCTGGTGGAGATGGGTGGGAAAATCATAAGACATCTCTTGCTGTGTAGATGTGGTGGTGTTATTTATTTGTGACTAAGTAAGAAATTGCACCAAAGTTTTAATGTTTTAAAACTATCTGGGACCTATGACACACTTCAGTCTAGAACCATTCCTACCATTCCAGTTCATTCTGAGTCTCTGTACTGTACAGTATTCACACATTCTCTTCAATCCTAGACCTTTTTCTGGAGAACTCAAGCAAAGACATACAAGACTTAAAGGTATGACATCATCTGCATAACTTAAGAAGTAATTGTTTAACAATGAGAAATAAGTTTTAAAAACAAAACAATGAGCAGGTAACTTGCAATTGGAGAAAAATTATAACATATTATATACATTAGTTTCCTAGAGTAACTACAGTAAATTATCGCAAATTGAACATGGAATGATTTGCTTGACAGCTTGAAATTTGGAAATCTGAAGTCAGTGTCTGACTTGAAGATTCTGTCATAGAATGGCTTGCAGAGATCCAAGACATTTGTTAGTTTTTACCTCTGTAATTCCTCATTCTCCTGTCATTGCTTGGACATCTCTGGTTTCCCATTTTCAAAATTTTCCCATTTTTTGTAAAGAAATATCTTTTTATTTTTTATTTTTAAATTTAAATTTAAATTAGAAACAAGGTTGCTTCACATGTCAATTCCAGGTCCCTCTCCATTTCCCTCCCCTCCTCCCGTGCCCTCCCACCAACCCTCCCCAGTATCCCATAATTTCCCCAGGGAGGGTGAGGGCCTCCATGGGGGTGTCCATAGTCTGTCATTTCATCCAAGGCAGGGCCTGGACCCTCGCCCAAGAGTTCAGGGTGAGAGTGCATCTCACATTGTTGGATGGGAGTCCAAAGTCCATTTGTACTGATCTACTGCCCAAGGCTCAATAGATTATCTAGGCCTCTTCACTGACACCTGCATTCAGGGGGTCTGGATCAGTCTCATGCTGGATTCCCAGGCATCAGACTGGGATGCAAGAGATAACCCTTGTCAGGTCAGCTGTTACTGGGGGATAAATCAGCCCAGTTTTAATGCCTTTGGTCATCAGTCCTCCCTCTCTGTCACTGGATTTCTTGAGTTCAGCTCAGTGCTTAGCCGTAGGAGTCTGCCTCTTCTTCCATCAGCCACTGAATGAAGGTTCTGTTTCCCAGACTCTCTGGCCATGGGATTGTAGGCTGGCACTCCTCAGATCTATGTCTAAAATCCATATATGAGAGAGTACATGCCATATTTCTATTTTCCTAACTGGGTTTCCTCAGTCAGGATGGTTTCTTCTAGTGCCATTCATTTGCCTGCAAATTTCAGGATTCCTTTGTTTTTTTCTGCTAAATAGTACTCCATTCTGTAAATGTACCACATTTTCTCTATCCACTCTTCGGGTGAGGGGGATCTAGGTTGCTTCCAAGTTCTGGCTATTACAAATAATGCTGCTATGAACATAGTGGAACAGACATTCTTGTTGTATGAATTGGCATCTTTTGGATATATGCTTAAGAGGGGAGTTGCTGCATTTTGTGGTAGGTTCATTCCCATTTTTCTGAGGAATCTCCATACTGATTTCCAAAGTGGCTGTACAAATTGGCACTCCCACCAGCAATGCAGGAGTGTTCCCCTTTCACCACAACCTCTCCAGCATAAATTGTCGTTGGTGTTTTGATTTTAGCTATTCTGACAGGAGTGAGATGGTATCTCAGATTTGTTTTGATTTGCATTTCCAGGATGGCTAAGGATGTTGAGCACTTTCTCAAGTGCCTCTCAGCCATTTTAGACTCCTCTATTGAAAATCTCTATTTAGTTCTGCAGCCCACTTTTTAATTTGTTCCTTTGGTGTTTTGGAGACTTGCTTCTTGAGTTCTTTGTAAATTTTGGAGATCAACCCTCTGTCAGATGTGGGGTTAGTGAATATTTTTTCCCATTCTGTGGGCTGTCTTTTTGTCTTGTTGACTGTGTCCTTTGCCTTAGAGAAGTTTCTCAGTTTCAGGGGGTCCCATTTATTAATTGTTGATCCCACTGTCTGTGCTACTGGTGTTATGTTCAGGAAGCTGTCTCCTGTACCAATTCGTTCAAGGGTACCACCCACTTTCTCTTCTAAGAGGTTCAGTGTGCCTGGATTTATGTTGAGGTTTTGATCCATTTGGACTTGAGTTTTGTGCATGATGATAAACATGGATTGATCCGCATTCTTCTACATGCCAGCATCCAATTATGCCAGCACCATTTATTGAAGATGCTTTCTTTTTTCCATTGTATATTTTTAGCTTCTTTGATAAGATTAGATGTTCATACATGTGTGGGTTAATATCAGGGTTTTCAATTTGATTACATTAGTCTAACTGTATATTTTTGTGCCAATACCAAGCTATTTTCAGGACTATAGATGTATAATAGAACTTGAAGTCAGGGATGGTGATGCCTCCGGACATTGCATTGTTGAACAGGGTTGTTTTGGCTATCCTGGGTCTTCTGTTTTTCCATACAAAATTGATTATTGTTCTTTCAAGGTCTGTGAAGAATTGTGTAGCTATTTTAATGGGGATTGCATTGAATCTGTAGATTGCTTTTGGCAGGATTGCCATTTTTACTACATTGATCCTTCCTATCCAGGTGCATGGGAGATCTTTCCATTTTCTGAGGGCTTCTTTCATTTCTTTCTTTAAAGATTCAAAGTTCTTGCGATACAGGTCTTTCACTTTTGGTTAGCATTATGACAAGGTATTTTATGTTGTTTGTGGCAATTGTAAAGGGTGATGTTTCTCTGATTTCTTTCTCAGCCCTTTTATCATCTGTATATAGTAGGGCTACTAATTTTCTTGAGTTGATCTTGTAGCATGCCACTTAGCTGAAGGTGTTAATCAGATGTAAGAGTTCCCTGATAGAGTTTTTTGATCATGGTGAATGATTGTTTTGATGTGTTCTTGGATCCGATTTGCCAGTATTTTATTGAGTTTTTTTACATCAATGTTCATTAGGGATATTGGTCTGAAGTTCTCTTTCTTAGTTGTGTCTTTTTGTCACTTGGGGATCAAGGTTATTAAAGCCTCGTAGAAAGAGATTGGCAAAGACCTTTCTGCTTCTATTGCGTGGAATACTTTGAGAAGAATTGGTATAAGCTGTTCTTTGAATTTCTGTTATAATTCTGCACTGAGACCATCTGGACCTCGGCTTGTTTTGGTTGGGAGACTTTTGATGACTGCTTCTATTTCCATAGGGGTTATAGGTCTATTTAAATTGCTTATCTGTTCTCGAATTAATTTTGGCAAGTGATAGCTACCCAGGAAGTCATCCATTTCCTTTAAATTTTTGAACTTTGTGGAGTATAGGTTTTCAAAGTATGACCTGATGATTCTCTGAATTTCCTCAGAGTCCGTTATTATGTCCCCCTTTTAATTTCTGATTTTGTTAATTTGCATGTTCACGCTCTGCTGTTTGGTAAATTTGGACAAAGTTTTGTCTATCTTGTTGATTTTCTCAAAGAACC